TGAACAACCTGGAACCACAAGATGCAGAGCTGATCTTAAAAATGGACCACATGTGAGTGTGGAGAGGAGCAAACCACAGATCACTTACTACAATACAGTCTGAGTCCTGCTATATGCACAATGGAGGGCCTTCTTACAGCAACACCAGAAGTACTCCTCTGTTCAAAGGAAATCTAGTATAATGCCAAGTTTTTAACTTGGTTTGTGTTCTTTTAAAAATATATTATAACTGTACCCTCATTTTGCTTCTGGCACAATAGATAAATAAATATAATCAGTCCAGGAGCCAATCCGCCTTACAGATTTATAGCATTATCATTCTACTTTAACTGTCATGGTTCCACTTTACAGACTCCTACTATTGACAGTTTCAAGAGAGTTATAGAGTTCTCAGCCAGAGAACTTCAATATCTCACCAAACTACAATTCCCAAGACTCCACATAATGAAACCATGGAAATAAAGTGAAATAATAATGCTATAATTGTGTAATGGTTTCTTCTTGTCAGGTTTTCTATTCCCAGGAAAGAGACCTGAGAGTCAAGAAGTGTGTCAGTGATAAAGACATCAGACCCACCTCCTCCTCCTCCTCCTTCCTGTCTCATCTAGCTTTTAAATCTTCAGAGCAAGATTCTCGATTTTACATAGCTGTACATTGCACACTGGTGGCTGAAATCAATTTGCAATCATGTAATACCATAAACACGTCCTGTATATCGCTACATATTGTTGTAACTTCCAAACAAATGTCCTGGTTCTGGTCTATAAATATCAGACTTAGTCCTACCATCCTCCCCATCCTAGGATTGTTTTATAAATAAGTTGTAATACAATCGTCCAGTTGGGTCCCAGACAAAAGAGCAAAAGCCCCAGAGGCTATTTGCTTTCTAGCGCTGCAAATTGGAGAAACCTAATTGGATTATAAGGAAGCCTCAGTTTCTGCTCTCAGTTTCTCTCAGGCCAAATAGTCATTATTTCATCTCTCACAATTGGACTAGGAAGGAGGCTGGAGATTTGGCAACGGGAAATGGCAGAAATCCAGAATGCCTCCTGACATTGAGGCTTGCAATCCTGAAAAATTATTTAAGCACAAAGAGGAAGGTTACTCATTGAAAACATCTTTGCAGAAGTGCAGGCACCTGCTCGCACCCAAAACACATAAAGAAAAAAAAGTCTCGCAAGCATTTGTAGATGAACCAAAACGTGGTGGAAGGTGGGACAAAATACCATCTTGGATTTTAATTTTGACTTGGATTTGTTGCAATTAATTTAATGGTATTTGAACTTGACTGAAGGTATTTCCCTAATGACAAACTTGCTTTGAATTGTTGTCGAAGGCTTTCCTGGCTGGAATATTTGGGTTACTGTGGGTTTTCTGGGTTGCATGGCCATGTTCCAGAAGCATTCCCTCCTGACATTTTGCCAATCAAAGAAGTCAGCCTTAGCAGAGCACCTGATGAACCAACCTGGACACAGCATATTATTTGAGAACACAGAAATTGTGGACTACTCTAACAACCACCATGTCAGATTATACAGAGAAGCCATGGAAATCCACAAGCATGTGGGCAATTTCAAAAAAAGACAGTAAATAAAGAGGAACACTCAGAAAAAAGGGGAATCCCAGTCAGGGAACAATCAGACTCTGCTAACTCCACCCAACAAAGGATCTCCCCAGGCAGCAACCAGCCAGGCTTTGAAGCTACAAGGCTATTCAAGGGTGGCCAATTGCAACATTCACACTTGCCTAAAAAAGACAAGAATTCTTTCTGAACATTCCACAGATATATAAACCTCACTTTCCTAATTTCCAACAGACCTCACAACCTCTGAGGATGTCTGCCATAGATGTGGGCAAAACATCAGGAGAGAATGCTTCTGGAACATGGCCATACAGCCTGGAAAACTCACAGCAACCCATTGCTTTGAAGTGTTAAGAACAGAACCAATGCAGCTGAAACATATGGGTCATTCATTCTCTCTCCTTCTGTTAGGGGAATTCACCAGGCTAAAGAGAGCATTTTCCTGTACATGGAAATCAATGGGAAAGGAGGGTATAAATATAGAAAGAGAAGGACTTAGTATAGGCGTCCTCAAGTTTTTTAAACAGAGGGCCAGGTCACAGTCCCTCAAACTGTTGGAGGGCCGGATTATGTTGTGAAAAAAACATGAATTCCTATGCACACTGCACATATCTTATTTGTAGTGCAAAAAACACTTTAAAACAATACAATAATTAAAATGAAGAACAGTTTTAACAAATATAAACTTAATAGGATTTCAATGGGAAGTGTGAGCCTGCTTTTGGCTGATGGGATACAATTTTCTGAATTATTGCCCCCAAATAACCACAGGATAGGTCTAAAAACCAAGATAATATGTTTGTTTGTTATTTGGTTGGGCTGTGTAATGCTTTAATTTTGGTTCCTTAGACAAGAAATCCCTTGTGCTGTGCAGTAGGACCAGAGCAGGAGGGAAAGTCTTTCTTTCCAGAAGACAACAATGCTCAAAGTGTCAATCATAGAATAAAAGAGTTGGAAGAGACCTCATGGGCCATCCAGTCCAACCCCCTGCCAAGAAGCAGGAATATTGCATCCAAAGCACCCCTGACAGATGGCCACCCAGCCTCTGTTTAAAAGCTTCCAAAGAAGGAGCCTCCACCACACTCCGGGGCAGAGAGTTCCACTGCTGAACAGCTCTCACAGTCAGGAAGTTCTTCCTCATGTTCAGATGGAATCTCCTTTCTTGTAGTTTGAAGCCATTGTTCCTCATCCTAGTCTCCAGGGAAGCAGAAAACAAGCTTGCTCCCTCCTCCCTGTGGCTTCCTCTCACATATTTATACATGGCTATCATGTCTCCTCTCAGCCTTCTCTTCTTCAGGCTAAACATGCCCAGCTCTTTAATCCGCTCCTCATAGGGCTTGTTCTCCAGACCCTTGATCATTTTAGTTGCCCTCCTCTGGACACATTCCAGCTTGTCAATATCTCTCTTGAATTGTGGTGCCCAGAATTGGACACAATATTCCAGGTGTGGTCTAACCAAGGCAGAATAGAGGGGTAGCATGACTTCCCTGGATCTAGACACTATGCTCCTATTGATGCCGGCCAAAATCCCATTGCCTTTTTTTGCCGCCACATCACATTGTTGGCTCATGTTTAACTTGTTGTCCACGAGGACTCCAAGATCCTTTTCACACCTACTGCTCTCAAGCCAGGCATCCCCCATTCTGTATCTTTGCATTTTGTTTTTCCTGCCAAAGTGGAGTATCTTGCATTTGTCACTGTTGAACTTCATTTGTTAGTTTTGGCCCATCTCTCTAATCTGTCAAGATCGTTTTGAATCCTGCTCCTGTCCTCTGGACTATTGGCTATCCCTCCCAATTTGGTGTCGTCTGCAAACTTGATGATCCTGCCTTCTAGCCTTTCATCTAAGTCATTAATAAAGATGTTGAACAGGACCGGGCCCAGGACGGAACCCTGCGGCACTCGCTTGTCACTTCTTTCCAGGATGAAGAGGAAGCATTGGTGAGCACCCTCTGGGTTCGTCCATTTAACCAATTACAGATCCACCTCACCATAGTTTTGCCTAGCCCACATTGGACTAGTTTCCTTGCCAGAAGGTCATGGGGGACCTTGTCGAAGGCCTTACTGAAATCCAGGTACGCTACATCCACGGCATTCCCCGCATCTACCCAGCTTGTAACTCTATCGAAAAAAGAGATCAGATTAGTCTGGCATGACTTGTTTTTGATAAATCCATGTTGACTATTAGCAATGACCGCATTTGTTTTTAAGTGTTTGCAGACCACTTCCTTAATAATCTTTTCCAGAATCTTGCCTGGTATAGACGTGAGGTAATTGTTTGGGACCCCTTCTTGAAGATTGGGACCACATTGGCCCTCCTCCAATCTGCTGGAACTTCTCCCGTTCTCCAAGAACTCCCAAAGATGATTGCCAATGGTTCCGAAATGACTTCCGCTAGTTCCTTCAATACTCTTGGGTGTAGTTGATCTGGCCCTGGGGACTTGAACTCATTTAGAGCGGCCAGGTATTCCTGGACGACTTGTTTCCCAATTTGGGGTTGGATGTCCTCTAAATGGGTAGTAAGGTTAGCCCTAATAGTCTAAAATTGCCCTTCAAGGGAGTTCTCATGAGGTTTTTCTGGGGCTAAGACTGTGTGACCTGCCAGTGAGTTTTCATGGCCAAGCAAGATTCGAATCCTAGTTTCCAGACTCCTAGTCCAGTGCTCAAGCCACTGAGAGAAATAGGTTGGTAGCATCAGCTTTTGTAGACCTAAATCCACTTCATCAGATGCAAGCATTATCCTCACTTGAGAATAATGCTAACAGCATGTCCAAGAATGGAAGACAAAGAGTTTCATCTGCTGGTCTTTTCCCTGTCATGGACTGGGACTTCTGACCCATATGGGGCTGAACGGACAGCTCCAGGAGGTCCAGGACCCAGGGAGAAAAAGAAGGGGACACTGCTTCTGCATGGCTGCCACAAAGTCTCCGGTGGTGCAGTGGGTGAAACCCTTGTGCGGGCAGGACAGAAGACTGACAGGTCGGAGGTTGGAATCTGGGGACAGTGTGGATGAGCTCCCTCTGTCAGCTCCAGCTCCCCATGCGGGGACATGAGAGAAGCCTCCCATAAGAATGGTAAGACATCCAAACATCCGGGCGTCCCTTGGGCAACGTCCTTGCAGACGGCCAATTCTCTCATACCAGAAGCGACTTGCAGTTTCTCAAGTCGCTCCTGACAGGAAAAAGAAAAGCAGCAGGTACTGGGTGGGGAAAGGTGAAAGGGGGAGAGAGAGAGAGAGAGATTGAGGGGAGGAGAGGGATGGTGTGTGTGTGTGTGTGTGTGTGTGTGTGTGTGTCTGTGCATCTATCTGTCTGTCTGTCTGTCTTTCTCTCTTTCTTTCTTTCTTTCTTTCTCTCTGTGTGTGTGTCCAATGAGCGGCGGCGGGAGGTGTCGCGGAGTCCCGCCTGCGCTGGGCCCTCCCCTCGGCGGCGTCCTCCTCCTCCTGCCCGGCCCCGCATTCCCCGACCATGCCCGTCCAAGGGGCCGTTGCTGCTGCTGCTGCGGAGACGCTCCTTCTTCTTCCAGCCGGGGACACCAGGCGCAGCGCATCTCCCCGGGAAGCGGAGGAAGGCGAAGAGGAAGAAGAAGAAGAGGGAGCCGAGGAGGAAGGGGAACTTGCCCGCCGAAGAAGAAGAAGAAGAGGAGGAGAAGGGAGGCGCCGTCCCTGCCTCCGAGGACTCCGCGGCGGCCCTTCCTCGCCTCGTCGGGCTTCCCCAGAGACGCGGCCGGAGCATGAGGCTCGGGATCGGCGCCCCGAAGGGCCCTCCCCGCCCGGCCTTGCCCTGGCTGCTCCTGGCGCTGCTGGCCCTCCTCACGCCGCGAGTGGACACCTCCTGGTGGTAAGTCACTCCCGAGGCCGGAGCGAGGGAGGGAGAGCCGGCGCCTTCCCGCCCCGTCGGACCCCAAGCCGAGTCTTTGGAGCACCGGAATGGTCTCCGTTGGAGTTGGAGGCGCTTCATTGAAGGGGGTGCCTCCTTTGTGGCTCCTGAACATATGCAGAGTGGGTTCTTCGCTCCCTTCCAGCTCGGCAAGACGGCCAAGGGATGCATCTCCTCAGCTGTAGTTTAGCTTGGCTGTTGGCCCCCCTTTTACTCCCCAAACTCAATGCTATGGAACCCTGGGACAGAGAGCTGGGACCCCAGCACTCTGTCTGCTTTGATGTGGAATATATGGCAGTGTGGACTCAGGGCCCTTCCACACAGAATATCAAGGCAGAAATTCCCACAGTATCTGCTTTGAACTGGGTTATATGAGTCCACACTTAGGGCCCTTCCACACAGCCCTCTATCCCAGAATATAAAGGCAGAAAATCCCACAGTATCTGCTTTGAACTGGGTTATCTGAGTCCACACTCAGAGCCCTTCCACACTGCCCTCTATCCCAGGATATCAAGGCGGAAAATCACATAATATTTGCTTTGACCTGGGTTATCTGAGTTCACACTCAGGACCCTTCCACACAGCCCTAATTGCCAGAATATCAAGAAAGGAAATCCCACAATATCGGTTTTGAACTGGATTATCTTGAGTCCACACACAGGGACCTTCCACACAGTCCTAAATCCCAGAATATCAAGGCAGAAATTCCCACAATATCGGTTTTGAATTGGGTTATCTTGAGTCCACACTCAGGGCCCTTCCACACAGTCCTAAATCCCAGAATTTCAAGTCAGGAAATCTCACATTATCTGAGTGTGAACTCAGATAATCCAGGTATTGTGGGATTTACTGCCTTGACATTCTGGGATAGAGGGCTGTGTGGAAGGGCCCTGGGTTATCTGAGTCCACACTGCTATATATTCCAGTTCAAAGCGGAAAATGTGGGATTTTATAGGTCTGTGTGAAAGGGCCTTCAAATAACCCAGGGCCTTTCCACACAGACCTATATCCCAGAATATCAAGGTAGGAAATCCCACATTATCTGAGTGTGGACTCAGATAACCTCGATATTCTGGAATAGAGGGCTGGGTGGAAGGGCCCTTCCACAGAGGGGGCTACACACCTTGTAAATCGTGGCCTCCCAGGATTCCGCAAGGTGTTGAAGTGGTTTCAACCTGAATTCAAGATCAGCGCTGCAAGAACTTTTTTAAAATTTGAGACAATAAGGATGGATGGGGTTAGAGTTAGGGTTAGGTTCCACCTCATTGTCGGCAGCCTTGATTCCTCGATGGCACAAAAAATATTCTTTTTTGGGTCTCCAGCAAGTGGACAAAGAAAGGCAAGACGGCGACTGAAGGCCCCTTCCACACAGCTGTATAAAACCCATATTGAACTGGATTATATGGCAGTGTGGACTGAGATAATCCAGTTCAAAGCAGATCTTATGGTTTATCTGCCTTGATACTCTGAGTTATATGACTCTGGAAGAAGAAAGGGAGGGAAGTTGCGGGTCGGCTTTTCTCGGTGTGGAGCCTGTCTTCGGGATGGAGGAGCGGCTTTTTTTGGGGGGGGGGGAGGATTGGGCTCCCTCCTGGGTTTTATGTTATTTTCGTTCGGGTTTTCTCGGAACCGTCGGCTTAGTTTCGTTGGAGGGAAAGAGCCGAGAGGGGCCCGGGAAGACGGAGGGACAGAGGCTGCCGAGCGAGGGAGAGATTGAGGAAGAGTCAGAGAGAGAAAGCCTGTCGGTGGCGTCGTGTCCCGGCTGGATGACAACTCGGCGCGCATTTAGGTAGGGAATCACAGGATCCTAGAGTTGGAAGAGACCAAAAGCACAATCAAAGCACCCCCGACAGATGCCCATCCAGCCTCTACTTAAAGCTTTTCCAACGGAGAAGCAGGGGAAACCCAATTGTGCTCCCGAGTCAGCCAAAAGAGCGAGCCTTTCCATTCCAGCTCTCCTTTCTCATCGACGGATGAGGATGAGGAGAGGACTTCTTCCTTTTCTGTTAATTGTATTCCCTTCGGATCCATCCAAAGCAAATCGGTTCGAATCAATGAACGAGAATACCCATCTCGCCCTGTCTGCCTTTTGGCTAAGTTGAAGGTTGGTGAGGCACCAACTCGCTTGGCCAGAGAAGGCTCAAGGCTTTGCAAGGCTACTCCTCGGGCAGTTAAAGTAGCTTCAAACAGCATCCATTCTGCCATGTAGATCAGGTATGAACAAACTTGGGCCCTCCAGATGTTTTGTACTTCAGCTCCTTCCCAATTCCCACTAACCCATCCTAAGGACCTTGAAGAGTTGAATTCCAACACACCTTGCCAAGAAAACCGAGTGACAGGTTTGCTTTGGGAAGTGTAAATGCGAAACAGCGTGAAGGCACACAACATCCATATCCAAGGCTGGATCTACACTCCCCGAGATCCCAGAATATGTGCTTTGAACTGGATTAGATGAGTCTACACTGCCAGATAATCTGGGATAATCAGATAATCTGGGATCAGATCCAGTGTTGCAGGGCAGTGTAAATCCAGCTAACATTACTCTCTCTACTACAAGTTCAATTAATCCTCCTTCCTAATTCTCTCCCCCATTAAATAAAGACCAAAGAGCTTGAATACTCTGCCCCACGATCCTCCTTTTCCTTTTCCTTCTTTTACCTCTTCTTTGTCCTCTTCCTCTTCCTATTGTTCTTCATCTTTTTCTTCCCTTCTCTTCCTCTTTGTCTTCTTCATTTTCTCTTCCCCTTCTTCTTTATAATCATCTTCTTCCTCCTCTTCGTATTCTTCTTCATAGTGTCTCACATATCTTTTTCTTCCCTTCTCCTCTTCCTTTTGTTTTTTTTCATCCTCCTCCCCTTCTTCTTCCGTCCTCTTCTTGTAGTTCCTCCTCTCACTCCTCCTCTTCCTCTTATTCATTTTCCTCCGCCTATTCTTCTTCATCTTTTTCTTCCCTTCTCTTCCTCTTAGTCTTATTCATTTTCCTCCTCCTCCTTCCCCTTCTTCTTTGTCATCCACTTCTTCCTCCTCTTCCTATTCTTCCTCTTCTCATTCATCGACTTTTTCTTCCCTTCTCCTCTTTCTCTTATTCGTTTTTCTCCTCTTCCTCTCTCTTCCTCGTCTTCCTCTTCTTTCTCCTCCTCCTCTCTTCTTCCTCTCTCCCTCTTCTTTCTCTTCCTTGTTCTCCTCCTTCCTCTTCCTTCTCTTCCTCTTTCTCCTCCCCTCCTCCTCTTCTTCCTATTCCTCTTGTTCATTTTCCTCCTCCTCCCTTTCTTCCTCTCCCTCCTCTTTTTTCTCTTCCCCATATTCATTTTCCTCCTCTTCCCCCTCTTCCTCCTCTCCCTCCTCCACTTCTTTCTCTTCCCCATGTTCATTTTCCTCCTCTTCCTCCTCCTCTTCTTCCTCTTCCACTTGTTCATTTTCCTCCTCTTCCTCCTCCTCCTCCTCTTCCCTTTTTCATTCCGCCTCTTCTTCCTCCTGCTCCCCTTGGCAGCCCTCCTGCGAGCGGCGTAAACAGGGCTTTTGCCTTGTTGATGACAGAACAGAACCGCTTGACTTGAAAGCTGTTTGTCTTCTTCATCCTTGGGAGTTCGGCGAGAGCTCCTCCTTAACCGAGAACAGCTGTCTCTCTCTCTCTCTCTCTCTCTCTCTCTAACTCTGCTCCCGGGAGCGAAAGAAGGCTGACCGGCTTGGGTTGTTTCCCCCTCCTCTATAGGAAAGTGGGGACGTGGAGAAGACACGTGTCCTGGGGGGAGGCTTTCCCTGTGAGAGGTTAACGGGAAAGCGCCATAAATTCCAAAGCTTTATTAGGGCCACTAAAATGTCGCCCTGTTTGTGGCTTCAACGACTTAAGGCACGGGAATTCATTGGCAAGGATTGTTCAGAAGGGGCTTTTCCTTCGTCTTCCTCTGAGGCTGAGAGAGTGTGACTTGCCAAGGGTCACCCAATGGGTTCCTAGAACCAAGTAGGAGACTTTAATCCTGGTCTCCAGAGTCCAAGGGTGCATCTGCACCAGGCATGGGCAAACTTGGGTCCTTCAGGTGTTTTGGACTTCAGGTGTTTTGGACTGCACCAGGCATGGGCAAACTTGGGTCCTTCAGGTGTTTTGGACTTCAACTCCCATCATTGCTAACCGCTTAAGCGGCCGAGGGGGAAAAGGAAGGGGCCTGAGGCGGTTAGCAATGATGGGAGTTGAAGTCCAAAACACCTGAAGGACCCAAGTTTGCCCATGCCTGATCTACATTGCAGAATTAATAGAGTTTGCACCACTTTTACTGCCACGAATGCCTTCATTCTACACCCTAACTTTTCCCCCTTGATCATCCTAAAAACGGGTTTTCCTCGGGATCTATTCACACATTCAGCCAGCACTTAACTAGTAAACACAAAAATCAAAAGATGGACGAATCCTGTGGTTTTAGAAGGGAAATAAATACAATCAGGGGGAAAATATATAGCATTTTATTTAGAGACTTCTAATACACAATTCCGGGAATGCCTGCCATAGATGCAGGCGAAACGTCAGGAGAGAATGCTCTTGGAACATGGCCACACATCCCGAAAAACTTACAACAACCCAGTGATTCCGGGCATGGAAGCCTTCTGCAATACATTTATCTGTAGATGAATGGTATCTCTTTGGGTTGCTGTGAGTTTTCCGGAATGTATGACCACGTTCCAGAAGCATTCTCTCCTGACGTTTCGCCCACATCTATGGCAGGCAATGCATCCTTAGAGGTTGAGAGGTCTGTTGAAAGCTAGGCAAGTGAGGTTTATATATTTGTGGAAGGTCCAGGGTGAGAGAAAGCACTCTTGCCTGTGAATGTTTCAATTGGCCACCTTGATTACGATTAATTTGCCTTGTAGCTTCAAAGCCTGGCTGATTGCTACCTGGGGATCCTTTGTTGGGCGGTGCTAGCTGGCCCTGGTTATTTCCTAGGAAAATGGGGTTTATAGATCTCTGG